CTTCCGATTCCTTTCTGAAGTCCTTGCCTTCTTCCTTTTTATTCTGTTGGTCCTCTCCATCTATCTCTGTAGAAGTGAGCTATTGCTCAGTTCTGCAAGAGCTCAGACTAGACAAAAAAGCACAACCAGGTCCATGAAGAGAGAAGCTGCTTGATTTTAAAATGAAGCACTTGTCATTCTCCAAGGGCTATAACTGACCTCCATGAGCGGGGATAAGGAAAACTTGGCAAAAAGGAGCTGCCTTTCAGAACTCAGAGGCTCCTTTCCTACCAGCTTCTGCGCACCTGCCACCAGGCCTCACACAGTGGGAGCCATTATCTGGACAGAAAGGGATTGGAGTTTAAATTCCTCTTATTCTTAAACACAATGGGATAATTGACTATCATTTGGGGGGTATCCAATTTCCATTTCACACCTGTCTTGAACCAATGAAATAGAAGTCTGCAGCCCAATTTGAAGGGAAGAGCATCATTCTCTTCCACACTTGGTGATTTCTTTAAGTTGAGTGTGTCCCAAGAGCAGCCTGTGCCTCGCATAAACCAGAACAGAGACTTTGGATCAGCCCTTTCCTAACTTTCTAGTCGTTCAGTGGAACAAAAAGGGTGTGTCACATTGGGTTGCTTTGGTATCTGGGATCTTGGCATCGCTGAAGTCTGAATCTGGATGATTGTAGGTAGGTAGGCAGATGTCACTCTAGTTCTCTTTGCCTTGACACATCAGTGATAGTAGGGCCCTCTCTACACATTACAAGTATTGCACAATTAACTGGTTAATTGTACAGTAACCTTAAGACCAGCTACATGTGCAGAGTATTTACCAGGAAACAAAAAGCTCCAACCAGCTATGAAGTTCACCTAAAAATGTGTACTATATAGCCAGTTGCTATCAAGCTTTAATTTGCACATGTAGCAGGGTCTCCCCTGTGTCTGGGAGCCCCATCAACTGATAGGGCTCCCAGCCACAGGAGTACTCCAGGCCCTGGGGACCGAGGCAGCCATAATCCCCAGGGTCGGGGGTATGTGAAACCCTCAGGCCCTGGGGACTGAGATAGCTGTGGGATCCTGTTTACTGATGCAGGGGGAGTCCAGTATCAGGTTCCCCTACACCAGTAAGAAGGTGCAAGGCAGGAGGCACAACTGTGTGGACTGCACATTAGAGCAAATTGCACCTTTGCCTACATGTGTAGAGGGGGCCCAGGTGATTTTCACTGAAGCCGGCTTCCTAGCTTGATTGTTTAATTGCATTTTGTGCGCGCATAGATTAAAATCAGCTTGGCTGTATAACTGCTTTTAACTAAATCTTACTGTACACTTTGCCTGGCTGAAGAATATTAATCCAGTTAAACTATAACTAAGATAAAAAGCTGTTCTGTTCATGCAAAGACATCCTTAAAAGTTATAGTGGCCAAATCCTGAGCTGCTGTAAAACAGTGTAGTTGCACTGAAGTCTGTAAAGTTGTATCAGTTCTAAAATAACCCTGAATCTGGTGGGAGTGCTTGCTACTCTGTGGCACAAGACTACTTCAAAATGAGTAACTATTTCATGATTAACTGTTCTTGGAAAGTGAGGAAGTCCATCTCCCTGGGCTTTGTAGCCACAAGTTCAAACATCTTTCCTGAAGAGAAAGCTCTATTATTTTAAAAGGGAGGGGGAAATCCCAGCGTTATTTGCAGCCTTGTATACAGAGCTGAGTTGCTAGCTTTTTTTTAAAGTTATTTTTGGGTAAGTTTGTCCATGTGGGGTGAGAAGGCTGTGGAGTGAGAGCACCCCTGCTGTGCTCTTTCCAGTTCTTGGGAGATGTTCACCCCTCTTCTACAGCTGGAGCTTCAGAGCTGAAGTCAGTCGGGTGCAATTTGTATAAACATTGCTAAAAGATACCAATTCTAAGCAAAATATAGAGAAGTCCAGTGTCCCCAAGGGATCTGAGATCCTGCTGTATGAACTGCCCCTTTTCTTTCCACTTATTTCATACAGTTACTTTGGTATTTAAGTAACCTACAATGACGGGAACCAGTAATTAAGCCCAAACATCTCTAGTCTCTGAGGCACTCTGGCACGTCTCATCTGCTCGGGTTTCTTTTGCTAGGTATTGCTTACTCAGATAAGGGCCCCCCTCACTGTTCAAGGATCATAGAAATGGGAGTGGGATGTGCTCTGAAATACACTGTTCAAGGATCATAGAAATGGGAGTGGGTTTTGCTCTGAAATCCCCAGGCCAGAAGCATTGCAGCCGGTGCTGCTGAGTCACTCAGACCTCTGGTATTAATTAACCGTCCCGGCTTCAGCAGCCACACAGCGCAGGGGGGCGGGCTAGCAGCAGGGCTTTCAGATTGGCTGGATCCTAGAGGAGGGGGGTGGGATCTGCCAGCTCCACATTGTGGAATACAATATCTGGAGGGAGTCTACTTTTAGGTGGGATTGTAGCAGAGCCAGGACTGGGGGTGTTCTGCTGAGGTCTGTTTTACGATCAAAATGTCGTTCATCCAGGTAGAGCAGAACTCAGATTTCCCTCTCCAGAACCTTCCCTATGGGGTTTTCTCTACTAGGGACAAGGTGAGTAATGCGCTGCTTTGGCCTTGTATTGCTACATTTGCTGCTTTGTCTTATGAAGAAATTCAGCCACTGTGAATGGGTGAGGAGTTCGGCAAGAAGATGATTCCTAGTTGTTGGAGGCTAGAAGGGCCTGATACGCGGGGAATCGTGCAGGTTTGTTGAACTTGCCCTGACATTGCAATGAATAGGTTGCCTTTTTGTATCCTGGTGGTGGGTGGGCTGTTTCTATAGAATGAAGTGAACAATATTAATACTTTGGTTAAGTATCTTCGCTCTGTGCAGGATGTTGTTAATACTGTCTCTACTCCTTGTGCATAATTTTGCAAGAGTCTGGATCGCATTAGGTATGCACAGCGTGCATTAGTTTTCACTTTTTGCCAACAGTCTCTTTTCTGATGGTCTGTGCAGTTGAACTTAACCCTCCTTCATCTCACTCTAGAAGCCAGATTTTAAACTCTATCAGACTGGCCACGAATCCAAACTGTGTTTGTTGTCTGTGATGTGACTTGATGCTAAATTAAAAGTTAAAATATGTTTAAAATGTCAAGTGGAGTTTGTTTTAAACATAAAACAATCTATCTAACCTTTTAATTAATGGCCTACCTTTTAGTTTTTCCACTCTAATGCAAGAGGCAGTTGGGTTTACTTGCTAAGGTACTGAGTTGAAAGGGGTGCTGTTCCTAACTGTATAACTGCCCTTCTGTGCAATCTTGGGCAAGTCAAGTTTCTTCTATATTCTCTGTATTCATTGTTCCCGTCAATGCAAAGGCCTGGGTGGAGGAAGGCACCGTATCAGGCAGGATTCTGGTATTCATCCAACAAGAAAACTCTGACTGAGATTTTGAGAGAAGCCTAAGGGAATTTGGGCACCCTGTTTCTCTTTTAATTAAGATAGGAAGAGGATGCCTAACTGGTTTAGATGCCTTCAAAAATCTTGCCCCTATAGCTCTAGTTTTACACTTTGACACTGCTGATTGCAATAGATTCCCATGTATAATTTCCCAAGGTAACAAAGATCAGGAGCACTTGAAACACACCCTCTCCTAAAAGAGAAAGCAGACAAACAGATACCTCTGGAAAGGGGAAAGCTGGAGGATTACCAAAGGTTAATGGGCAGTGTTGTATGCACAGGTCATAATAGCTATCACTTGATCTCTAGCATTGTCCTCATCTATCAGCAGGGCTTTAAAAGTGAATTCGAGCACAGAACAGCCTTGACTCTGACCTGGTGTTTTCAAAGATAAAAAAGCTGGATGATGAAACTAAAGATGGTCCCAGATCTCTCTCTGTTACTAGTTTTCCCCTTCCACAGTCATGATTCTCTGCTGAGGAAACATCTCCAGCATTTAAACAAATTGGCCAAGCGGATTTTGGAAATTGATTTCCCAACCACATCCCACTATTGGAATGATTTAAAGTTAAAATAACTGATGTAATTCAGGGCTATGGATTATAAATTAACCTGCCCTGTTCTGAGATTTTTATGTCAGGAATGTTTGTTGAATAAACATTTAGGGCCCTGTTTGCTCAAATCACATTGGGGTCTCCTGTTTAAAGACTAAAGGTTAAAACTGCTTGGCCATGTCTTTTTTTTCTTTATCCCTACTGATCTTAGTCCAATGTGTTTGGCCAGACATGCATATTTGTACTTGTATTTGGAATGGAAGTTTAACATGGCTGTATTTCACTTAAACACACCACTGGACCTTGCCTTGATCAGGCCAAAGTGTCTGTGATTTCAGCACCCCTGCGGCAGGGGTAACAGTCTGTGCTGCACACCGGTAGGCCTGGGCTTGTGTCTGGTTAATGTATGTAGTTTATGTCGATCTTACAAAACCAGCAGGGAACGAGCAAGGTTTTCTGGTTGGTTTTGGCTCTTTCCATTCTGTTTCCCTGGGATGGAGAGGAATAATCACACTGGGAGGGAACCTTCCACAAGCACTTCCTCCTTCCCAAGTGGTAGACCACTAGCCTAAGACTGGTTCAATCCCAGCTTTTCTACATACAGCCTGGGGGACCTCTAGATGAGCCCCCCATATGTCTCAGTTCTCCAAAGTGGCACTTCCATATCTTAAAGGAGTATAGTGAGGGAAACTAATGACAGGCATTTGGTTAACTAGAGTAATGGGAGCTGTAAAGGTACCACTGATATGTAGGAAGGGAACAGGAGATGTTGGTCTTACTCCCACCTCATCCCTTCAGGGTTCTGGAATTGGGATGCCTCGTTCCAGCTCTCAGAATCTGCGAGGAATCTGCAATTTGGTTTGTTGGTTAATCATACCATACCAAAGGTTTGTTGGTTTGTTGGTTAATCATACCATACCAAAGGTTTGTTGGTTTGTTGGTTAATCATACCATACCAAAGGTATAACTAACCACTCCAACAGCTTGGCTCCTCAGCCCCTGACTAGATTAGACTCTGTGATGCATTGCTCCCATCACCCTCTGTGGATGATTATTGAGAGCACAGGTATAAACTCTTCTTTCCCTTGTAGCCAAGGCACAGGATTGGGGTGGCGATTGGAGACCAGATATTGGATCTGAGTGCTGTTAAACATCTGTTCACTGGACCAGTGCTTTCCAAGCATCATAATGTCTTCGACCAGGTATTTATCGTCCCTCTTGATACTGCCCCCTCCCATCAGGTTTTGTAGAGGTGAGTTTGCAGGCACTCGGGCTCAGATCAAGAACGCTGCAGCACCTTACCTGGGTTTGTCTGTAGTGCTGTAGTGTGACCCCTCAAGCAGAAACACGGAATATGGGTATTGGGGTTGTTCCAGCTTCACATCAGAGTAACTGCTGAATGAAGTTACACAGGCTTAAACATGGAGTAGTGCGATACTGGGTGAAGACTGGGGCATGGGCTTATGGACAAGTTACCTCGAGGTAAATGAGAACGTGGTTCTGGAGCTCAGCATCTGCTCTTGTAACTGCCTGTGGGATGACATAAATGACAAAGTAAATGAAAGAGAGATATTGTACTGTAAGCTGGTATACAGGATCTTCCCCAGACATAGGGAAGACGTTCTGGCATGCTGTAGATTAGAGATGGGCAAAATACAGCTCATAAACCGGATCCAGCCCACCAAGTGATTCTGTCTGGTCCACATTGGGTCCCTTGGCCCTGCCCAGCCCAGGCACAGGGGGCAGCCTGGGCTGTGGTGTGTGCAGCTGGTCCCGCCACCCCAGGGTGCGGAGGTGCCTCCTGGCATGAAGCACAGCCCATCCCTATCCCACTATAGCTCCTACCAGGAGCTATAGTCCACAGGGCTGGGCAATGTGAGGATGAGGCAGGGGCAGCAGGGCACCCAGACTCAGCATCCTGGCAGCCCCCGCAGCAGTGGCTCAGTCTGCCCCCTCACTTCCATCTGCCACTTTTAGTGTCAGCTGCCACTGGACCCGGCCCCACTGTCCAGCCACCCCGGCCTACCCACCCCAGACCCACCGCTGCAGGTGCCAGATCGAATGGGTGGGGGAGCAAGTGATGTCTCCATAAATACTGGCCTGGGACCCCCATGGGCTGTGGGCAGGTGGGGAGCAGTGTCTGGGAGTGGGACAGGTGGGCAGGCTGGGATCACAGGGCCTGGGGCTTGGGGGTGATCCATCCCCCATATGTCCCTGCGACGGGCCCTAATTCTGCAGGCAGAGGCCGACTGCTACCTGTCACGCTGGCGCCTGTCGCAGGGATGTACAGGGAGCAGATCACGGTTCTGCCCCAGCCCCATGCGATCACTGCCCCATGATCCCAGCCCTGCCTGCTGGTCTGTCCTACTCCCAGACACCCTCCCCGCCTGCCTGCAGCCCTATCCTATCCACCCAACCAAGCGCACGCACCCTGCCTGCAGAGGTCCTGGGCCAGTCTCCATGAAGACCCCTCCCGCCCGCTCCATCCAGCACCTGTCCGCTCCATCCAGCACCTGCCCACTCCATCCAGATGGGCCCGGGGCTGGATGGGATTAATTGGCATCACTCTGTTCCCCCTGCCCCCCACCATGCCAGTGCAAACAACTGTGATGGGGGGGGCAAGCACCCCACCCTCAACAGCTCACCAAAATACCTTAAGTGGCCCTCCAGCCCAAATAACTCTCCACCCCACAACAGGCCATGGATCTACAGTGTCCAGGGCTCACTATTTGTGTGCCCATTGCTTATATATATATATATATCTGTTCAGGTGATTCTTCTACAGCCCCATAGGAGCAGATTTTAGAGGATGTGGTATTTAGTGAGGTCCAGTAAAGCTCTTTCCTTTCCTCTTCAAATACAGAAGGCAGGGAGCGGCATGTGATGAAGGGGGCAGGGGGAAGTCTGCTTTGCTGAAATGTTACTTGTGTCACTAAGGAGCGCAGCCACCAACAAAGAGCAGCCATGATTAAAACTTAGAAGGACCTAATGAGTGCAAGCTGTCTTGCTGGCTTCCCATTGCACAATAGTGAGAGACAAATCGCAGATTTGTGATTTTTGCGAAAACTGCGAAGAATAGCGATCTCTGTGATCACCGCAGAAAATGGTGTTGACCATGATTTCCTACAGAATTGACCCCCCCAGAAAATGCTTACTGTAATACAAAGATTTAGATTTAAATTGAATACTTAGATTTATAATAATATGGTAACTTATATATTTCTGCAGAATTTGCTGTTTCATTATGCGGTTTTTACCTCTTGGCCAATCAGCAGCAAGAGGTGGAACTGCCATAAAATGCCTGCGAAATTGGCTCTGTGTACCATGAGCAGGCTGTGAAAAACCTTTTGTCTCGCCATGACTGAAGCAGGAACCCAACAATAGGGCTAGCCAAAAAACAGGTTTTGTGATTCGCAGGAGAATTTCTTCTGCTTGATATCAGTCTGAATCAGACTGAAACCCAAGATTTTTCTGAATTCTTCCCAAGCTGCAAACTCCTCAGCCCCTGCAGCTGGTCTGTGAGATGGATGGGCCTTCGTTTCATGGCAGCAAAGACGACGATGACAATATCCATCTCAAAGTGCAGCTGCAAGAGCTCCTGCGGTCTATGGCTCTCGGGTAGTCCTGCCACACTTGACAGACCCTGCAGCTTGCCCCAAGAATTTGAGGTGCCAAGTCCCAGTCTCTAGCTGCCAACCCCTGGCCTGCTGGGCTCCCTGCTGCAGAGCTGTGGTCAAACCCCAAGAATCCCAGCACTTGTGTGCTGTGAAGTACCTCGTGCCTGTTTGCTCCTGTTCTGCGCGTACCAAATCACAGAAATGAGCCTATGTAGTGCTTTAGAGCCCTGATCACATGCCAGTGATCACACCTGAGATGGTGAGAGTAGCAGTGGCACTTGGCACTCATTCAGGACCCCTTGAAGGTGGCTGCAGCATCTCATTTCAGGATCTGGCAGGCTTAGAGGAGCGATTGGACAGGGTGTGCTTCACAATAGGACTCCCCGGCCTGGCCCAGAAGCAATACAGACAGGCCCTAATTCTTCATGATGAAGGAACAACAGTGATTTGTGGAATTTAACTGGTATGTAGGCCTTGCAGTCTGAGAGAGTATATATGCTGTGCACGTAGGCCCACACTGGTGTCTTGCAACCAAAAGCTTTCGTGGAAATGTAAGAAGCAGTCACTGTTATTTCATCATTGGTTTGGTTTGCTGTAGAGGAGCCCTAGTTGCAGTCCCAAACTCCAGGATACTGGGCTCGGTGTGACCACAGGATGGTGCCTGCCCCCAGCACCTGAGCTGAGATGAATGGTGGCGCAGACAAGGGGCCAGGCGAAGTGAGCCTGCATTGCTCAGAAGCATGCTAGGCTCAAGTCTCAGGACACCCAGCTGCCTATCATTTACTTCATAATTAGTTATTGAACACCAGTCACATCGGGCTTTTGCTGTGTATGGAAGGTAGGGCAAGCCTGCTGCCTTTCATGTACCTCTCTACCTTTATACTGTGTTTTAGCCAACACTTAACGACTTCATGGGGTTGGGCCGCGAGGCGTGGAAGGAAGCTAGAGTCTTTCTCCAAAAGCTCCTGTCAGCCCGGGAGCCAGTGCTCAGAGACGACTCAGAGCTACGAAAAAGGTGAGGAATGTGGAAGCTGGAAGGGACTCCCGGCTGACTTGCATGGTATGTCCTCATATGTACAAAGCAGCACTTGGACTTGGCTCCAGCTGTCTGAAGGCTGAACGAGAGGAGCAGAGTGTTAGCTCTTCTTGCCTGGGCTCGGGAACTACTTGCACTGTGCCGCGAGTGCGAGCGGTGAACAGCACCAGGCAGCCCGTCGCCTGAGAAGCGGGGCTGGCCTCGCTGGCAGAGAGCCCTGTACTGCGGGGAAGTGTGGCTGATTCCCTCTGGCAGCTGACTGTCACTGCTGTTCCCGTTGTCTCTCCTTCCCTTGATATTTCAATTAAACGTGGGCTTGCAAAACTGTTTAACCGAGCTCGTAGCCTGGTTGCTGTGCAGCTGTCAAGACTTTTCATCGACTCGGAAGGTACAAAACGCTATCGCGCAGAGAGGTACATTTTCAGGAGAATTCCTCACTGTACTGAGACCATGGCAGGCTGCATTTCTAGAGACATCAGTATAGTCCCATAAAACCCCTCATAGGCCTGAGGGGCCCAGCTCTTCAGGGCTCAGAAAACCAGGCTACCTGAATGTGTGCGCCAAGAAGAGCCCCATCAGCTTTAAAGCTGGCAGCAGTATTTATACTATTGCTTTGAGAGTCAGATCCACAGTAGGAGCTAGGCACCTAATGTGGGACTTGGGTGGAATTTAGGCCTCCAAACCCACGAGAACAACTCTCAAAATTCCCTCCTGACCCCTTTGGGCATCCATGGATTTTATAGACTTATGTTTTCAGCTGTAAGGACCATGAGGTACCATGCCCAGGGCTGTTGCCATGCTGCGCTGTTCTCGTCAGCCTGATCACAAGCCTTGAAAGCAGCCCTTCCTCTGCAAGGGCCAAGACACTTCCAGCACGTTCTAGGCACACCTGACCCTCCAACAGCACTGGGCTCTGCCCAAAATACAGCGACTGCCAGCACATTCATTAAAAATATGGCTATGGGTTTCCCCTCCTTTTTCCTACAGCTGAGTGGTTGGGAGCACCTGGGCTTTGAAGGCCTGGGTTCGAGTGCCCTCTTCAGCCTGAGGACGTTCAAATCCATGCCTCCCCTCCCAGAGAAGTCTAACCACCTGGGTGTATGCCCCTCCGAGGAGCCAGTCTCCACCCTTCCTGTGGACGCCCGCAAAAAAGAGTTCAAGATCCATTGAGCCAGGGTGCGGCTGCGAGAGGGAGTGCGAGTTAGTTCCCAAGGATTACGGCACTCCCCTGGGAGAAGGGCATCCTGCCCCAAGGGCTTATTTATACATTTTCTCCATGTCTCCAGTCCTTAGAGCAGACTGGGACCCAGCTGAGTGCACTAACCGCTGCCTGCAGCACTCCCTGCTCCCAGTGCTCCCTCTCGCTGCTTCTTCCTGGCCCGAGGCATCTTGAGTTTTCATCTCCCTCTCTTTTTGGCAAAGTGGAAGTACCGTCGTGACCACCTGTCTTTTCAGAGGCAGGACCATCTTTGCTTCCCTTCTGACAGTCTAGGTGCCTAAGCCCAGAGGAGAGAGCTGAGCTGTGAATCTTGATCTAACATTGATACTTCCTTTCAGCAAATACTTAGGCATTTCTGTGCCCCAGGATGATGGATTTAGAATATGCTCCTCTTCACCATTTTCCATGCTCTAGCTCTAGGAGCTTCCCACTCAGCCTGCTGCCTGCTGTGAATCCCAATCTGAAGCCCAAAGCTTCAAACAATGCCTTGGGAAAGCTATGCATCTAACTCAGGGCTCTGGATCCCATTTTGGGAGATGGGTGGTGAAAAGTTAACCACTGCAACACTTGACATTGCAGCAACACACGGCAGCTTGTGGATCTTGCTCTGCCAGGCCTTCTCTTAGACGGGAACATAATGCTAATCCTAATGCTAAACCTAAATCCTAATGCTAAACCTAAATCCTAATCCTAAACCTTCCAACCAGCAAAGGGCAGTGACAACACATACACATCACTGCCAGTGCACTGCAATAGACCCATTTTGATGCACTGGTACAAGAAAAAAACGAGCTCTCCCAAACCTTCAGCAGTTCCTGTATGCTCCGATCTACCTCTTAACAACAGCGCCTTAGAGTAATAATTGCATCATTGTAATAGTACCTGCATATTCTGTGCCGCTATTTTATGCCCTATGATTTGGCACAGCATTATAGCAAAGAGCAGAAGCAAGAAGAGAGTTAGCACAGAGAGACTGAATGTCTTAGCAGCATATATGCCTCCAAACCAAAACAGGAGGATAGCTAAATTTTAAGTGCTGAAGCATAGGTGCCAACTTTTATTTTTGCAATGGGGGGGACCTAAGATGATGAGCATATGGAAAGTTTTACACATTTCATGTGACAGCCCCCCTGTCCAAGGGGGACCAGAGCCCTTGGGCCCCCAAGTACTCAGCACCCATTTGCTGAAGTCTTTCTTTGTATTTCCAGAGCATTTGTACCTCAAGCCTCCGCCATAATGCATCTGCCAGCTGAAATTGGTAAGTGGCATGAACTGGGAGAGACTCTACTTTGCTCTGCATGTCCCATATGTTCAGGATGAGGACATTGTGTCTGTGGCAGAGATTTTCTATCAGTTTACAGGAGATTTTACACATGGCTAATTGCAGGTGGCATTTCCGATGGTCAATAAAACGTGTGGGCAAGTTTTAATACCAATGTAAGGCCTTTGGGTGCAGTTTTTATTAAATTAAGTTTCCTTAGTGTCACTTTATCTCTGAAGACACAATTGTATCACCAAATGGCTGTATGATTAAAACCAAGCAGAAAATAATTCTCCCAACCTGTGGAAAATGTTGACATTTCAAACACCTTCCACATCAGGACAGAATTGAGACTCTTGATGCTTTGGAAAGAGATTGCAGAACAGCCGGAGGGTTAGGTCGGTAACCTGGGATGACATGGAAGACCCTTGTTCAAGTCCCTGAACAGAATGAAATGAGTCATCTTGGCACTCAGCTGTTGGCTATTCTGGGATTTCTCTCTCTTTTTGACAAAGAAGAAATTTGTTCTGAACCTGAGAAACCTTCCAGACAAAAGTTTCATGAAAAGTGATACATTACTACAAAAAGTCTCAATTTTAACGTCAGCATTTTCTAATGAAAAAGCAACTTTTTGAAACATTCTGTTTATGACCACATCGTCTCAAAGCACGTTTCTTTAGCCAGATGCTCATCTTGACCATAACATGCAGTGCCATATAACTGCAAATTATTTATGGCTAGACTGAGCTGTTTAGATGTAACCTCAGGTTGGACAGGGGCCGCACTTGCTGTAAGAGCAAGCACCGGGCAGCACTTTGTATTACGGTTTCAAGATAATTCCTGGATATCCTGGATGTGCAGATCCTAAATACTGGGTATTTACAGTTCTCGGTTGACTCCGTTGGTGACAACCTCTTAGAACAAGACCAGATGGAAAGCAGCAGAGTATCCCTTTCCACTTGTTGAGACTAGCTGTCGCTGGTATGTAAAGGTGGGAAAGTCTTTCTTTAGTGAGGTATAGAGGCCGATTTTATCTGTGCTCATAACTGCATATACAAACAAAGAGGAAATACTGTGAACGTGGCCTTCTTTTACACCTGTGACCAGTTGAATTTGAGAGACAATCTCTGCCACTGGGATGTGCAAACCCTTCCTGGCATTGCCAGCCCCAAGTGTTCAAACATCAGGCACCGAAAAACAAAAAGCCGGCAGCTGACTCAACAACGTGATGTTTAAAGAAAATAAATGTTGGGTTCTCTTTCATTTGCCGTCTTATATTTGAGCAGGAAAGTACACTCAGGTCACATTTTCAAACTCTTCTTTGTAATTACCTGGCTCTAGAAACTGAAGCTTTATGTAAAACCTCATGTAAAAAACCTGGAATAAATCACAATAACGGTCCGTGCCATCTTCTGTCACTAACTGAGGCACTTGAGGGTCAGCATTTTAAGCAAGAGATGGACGGGGGATGCCTGTTATATAACCCAAGACACTTTCAATCCCACTGAACCCATTGTGAGTTTTTCTTGGGCAACAGGCATGGGCCAAGTTAACCGACATGGTTGGTAATTGTTTCTTAGACAGAACAGCAGAGGGCAGCAAATGTACTGAGTATGAAACCATTTCCTCTGTTAGCAGGCAGCGTTTCCCATAGCATCCGCACAATGGCAAATGGATAACCTGTAAGAAAACAAAACAACACACACCAAAAGAGGATTCTTTGTTCATGAATTTGTAGCTAACAGATCAACATGCAGCTCGTTATTTTTTCCCTTTCTGCACTGAGGTTGAAAAAACCCAATATTGCATACGTTTTATAGTCCATGCATAGTTATCCATCTGCCCCTTTTATGCAATGAACATCAGTAATCAGGTGCTGTTCTTAAACGTTTTGTTTTTTCTTTCAAAACTGCTCTGTCAATCTGTCTTTCTCTCTGTCCCCTTCCCCCTCCTTTTCATGGTGAAAATGTGTACTCTTAGCCCCACGTCTTTCATACAGTTGATCAGTTTTTGTCCTTCTCCAGGAGATTACACTGACTTCTATTCTTCGCTGCACCATGCCATGAATGTTGGGATCATGTTCAGAGGGAAGGAGAATGCTTTGAACCCTAACTGGTTGGTAGTTTAGTTATTTGTTTTCTCAGACAACATGTGCACATTTTGAAGGGGCCTGCCTAGGCTTGCAGGAAAATAACCACCTTCAGCTAATATAAATTAACAGAGCCCCACAACGGAGTGCGACTCCATCTGCCCCACTCCCCACGATCTCTGAGTTGTGTTTAATTGTAGCAAATGGGGTAACTGGAGGGGTTCAGTTGCAAGTCAGGGGCAGTTTTATCCAAGAACTGGTTCTTCGCCTGTCACCAGAAACCAAAGTTTCAGTTGTGATAAAAAGCTGAGATCCCTGAAAAGGTGGGGAAATGGTTCCCCATGAACTTAGACAACATTAAGCTTTAGTAAGTTCTTAAAAAGACCTCGGTGCTTTCATAGAGCATTGCTCTTCTGGGGGTGATAATACAGCACTTATCACACAACCAACATGTCTCTTTAACAAGGTTGCATTTACCTGTTGGCTACCATGGGCGAGCTTCTTCGGTTGTGGTGTCTGGGACACCAATCCACAGACCACTAGGACAGACACGTCCAGATGATGGTGAGTTCCTTTGCACACCCTTGAAATGTGCTTTTCTCCTCCAGAGTGAACAGCACCCTTATTCCAGTATACATTGTGGTCTTGTCTACCTTCATTGCGTTGCTTTTTCCTTCCTAATGTGCTTTTCTTTGTCTGAACCACAGCTAAACCTCCAGTGTTTGGTGCTTGCAAACGTTTGGACCTTGAGTTAGAAATGGTAGGATGCATTTATTTTATTTTAGTACTCATTCCCTCCCCTTACCTTCCTTTAATAGAGAACAAACAGTCAGCTTGTTTTAGGAGAGTGATTCTCAACCAGGGGCCCATGCCTTGAAATTGTTTCAGGGGTGCTCTGAGCTGCCACACAATATTAGCACTGCTAGTTGTGCAAAGGTGAGTCACAAGATAAACCCAGAGATTTCAAATGGAAATCCATAGTGTCAAAAACTCTGACCTGGTTCAGTCTGTTTGAATTTTTTGCAATAAGAAAAGTGCTCTATTAGTTTTCTGCAGTCAAAAAAATAAGTGAAAATGAAGAGCTCTAGTGTTTGACAAGTCTAAGGAGGGGTGCCTTGAATCTAAACATTTTGAGAACCACTGTTTTAACAGCTAGCATAGCACCACGGATACAATCTGTGCTCAATCTATCTGGCTCAGCAGGCCAGATGAGTGGTACGGGTCTGGTCTGTGGCCTTAATCTACTTGCAGAAGTATGATCCAGCCATGGAGTGGCCCCCCACACACTAGTCTGACTCCACATGCCTGGATCTGGCTACATGCCAGTGCAATCTAGCGTGCCGGGCCACATCATCTGGCTTGCAGATTTGGCAGCAGGGGAGTGGCAATGAATGCTGTTGCTGCTCCCCCACTACCACATTCCAGACCCATCGGGGAGCCCTGCAGGCCACATCTGGTCTGAGGCCGGGGGTTGGGCATTGCTCATCTAGAATACTATTCTCAAGGTGCCTCCTTCAAATCAGTATATTGCCTGCTCTAGAATTTATTCCAGAGGGGAGATCTTCCCTGCCTAAGGGTTACAGGAGAAAGAAAGCAATTCTAGGCTTTTAGGGTGCAGACACTAACGACAATTTTTACCTGATCTGGCCACAGAAAGCAATCTATAGCCGTGACCAAACACAAGTGCACAGCTTCAGACAGCTTCAAAAATGGCCGATCAGGTGAAAATATGACCCCTCATTGCATGAGGTATCAGATAAAGACATTTCAAAGTGTAGTATCTTCTGTAACTTGTGTCTGCAGAGCTCCCAGCCTGTTGCTGTTTTCAGACTGGGTAGGGGGGAAAGGGAACAGAGGGGGTTCGGTCTGGGGGTTATTTTTCAGCCCCTCCTGGGTGGTGGGGCGGGTGTGTTGGAGTATATGGGGGGCTCCAATTCACCCACCCCACCCTTCAGCACCAGCTGGAGAGCCCCAAGAATGAGCTCCCTCCACTGCCTTTCCTCCTCCCATTTTGAAACCAGTGAGCACCGGCACTAGCCAAGGTGGCCATTGCTATGGGAACCTGGCTGCAGGCTCCCAGCCCACAGTTAGATTTTCCTCCTTTCTGGAACAAACAGTGAACTTCTGTTTGGTCTGGGGTCCCGTTGTAACTCAGGCAGCTTTACAGAAAATGTTCTGAGTGACAGCTGGGAGCTGCACTAGACTGAGGTCATTCTGGTGCAATGGGTTTGTAAAATAGGGGCCATTGTATTGGGTCTGGCTGTGAGGAGGATTTTATTAAGACTTTTGTCCAAAATTCATCCCGAGCTTCATTTTCTCCCAGCCTAAGGCTTTTCCCACAGCTGGAGCTGATAACACAATAGCATGTAAGCAGAAATGCTGGAGCCTGAGCAGGCCTCGGAGTTCATTGCATCAGGCTCTGTTACAGGAACAGCCCCCCTCTGTCCAAGAAGACTTGATCACATTGTTAATGCACCAGCTTCTGCTCCGCACTGTGGCAACAGTAGTTTAAATAAGAGGTAAAATCGGAGTTCTGGGAATGAACTGGAATTGTTTGTATGTCTGCAGGGTGGGGGAGAAGCAGGATTACGTTTGCTGCCATCCTTAACCTTATGGGCAGCCTTTTTTCTGGTGTTTTTAGCCTGCCACCCCCCAAACCAAAAAACACCAATAAATGCTATCAACCAAAACAACAATAAATGCATCCTAGAGATACAACCACCCCATGTTTACTCACCATAATGCTGCAGCCTGAATACTTTAATAGATACCAAGGATGATGCTGTGACAGTGCAGCCTGGCTGTGCGTTCTCCTTAGTCAAAGAACAAGTGAAAACTAAGAGCTAGTATTTTTCAAGGGGTACCTCAAGTCTAAGGCAGCTTTCCTTGAGCCTAAAAAGGTAGAGAAACACTGTTTTAGAAGAAGCAGATGCTTTGCAATCGGGTGTACGAGAGAGTGCATTATGTCTATACTGCAGTATTTCTGTACTGTTGGTAATGTCGGAAGGATGTTGTGGCTGTGATGGTCCAGTACGTATACAAGAGGCTAGAATTGTTTTGGGGTGATATCTTTTATCGGACCAACTGCGTGGATGGGATAAAGTTAGGCAAGCTTCCGAATGCAAGATGTTTTTCATCCAATCTGAAGGAAGCCTACACAGCAGTGATTAAGAACAGTGGGTAGAGCTGTGAAATCAGAGAGACAAGAAATTCCCTGGGGTAGCAGACAAACAATTAACTGAAGAAAAGATTTGATTACTGGAAATCAAGACCTGTCAAAAAACCAAGGAGGGTCATTATCATCTGTAGTGTGAAGGAAGAGTTTCAGGAATCAGGTAGATTACAGGAATTTTAGGAATCGGGTAGATTACAACGTGCTACGAAGTCAGTGTCAGCGTTCAGTCTTTGGTTCCAGGTATGCAGCCAACTTATGAATTTTTGTTCCCAAATTTGCCTTTTAAAGGTGTTTGGCAGATTTCCCTTGAGTATGAGGATTGTGAGATCAGAAAGGGAGTGGTTGTTCTGTGAAAAATGTGCTATTGATATTTGTGTGCATTTGTCCTTTCCATATTTTTCTGTGAGAGTTCATTCTGGTGCATAGTTGCTGTTTAGTTTCACCCACATAACTATCATGAGGTCATTTGGTGCATTGGATCAAATATATCACATTTTGGGAAAGATGTGAGTAGGATGGATTCTGATGGGTTCGTTGTGGAGGGGGTATCCAGCTTGTAGCTGTATTGGCCTAGAGGAAAAGGCAATCAGGACTCAAAGTAGAGATGATATTTTTTGTTGTGTTTTTGTGGGGGGGGGGGGGTTGGGCATTGATAGTTGTACCAGTGGAGATATATTACAGGTTAAGCATCTGTTGTTAAGATAAGGCTGTCGCATTTGATGTCTGTTGAGCAAGAATTTGCTTCTGATGATCAGTTAGGCAAAGCTAAGGGGTGTTTAAAAGGCAGGAGCAGAGAGGCTGGGGATATTTTTCTTAAGGTCTGATTTTTGCTGAGTAGAGGCTATAACTGTCTGATGATTCCTCTAATCAGCTCAAGTCTGGGGTAGTAGGTGAGTACCAGGTGTGTGCAGTCACAGGGGGGGTTCTTTTGGTATTGTGGCAGGTGACTGCAGGGGATTTGGGTAGCTCTTTCTCTGTAATAGTATTAGTTGTACATACTCTGTATTAGTAGTCTGAATGATTATGCTGGTTACTCAGCCAAAAAATACTGAGAACATGAAATCAATAAGAAAACATTTACTGAAAGTGAACTAACAATTTTAATACTGCAGGCACAACAAATCAGAGGCATAAAACTGTTCTATAAGTGCTGAGCACTGGCCTAATCTCTTTGCAGTGGGAGTTTTACCTTTGGCTTCATCAGAAGCAGGCTTAAGCTAATGGGACGCAATTTTTTTTTAAAAAAGAGCCTTATCCACACTTAGTAGAGCCTGTGTTTGAGATCTCCGGCAGGCAGCTGTCACAAGTGCTCAGAAGATCTGGATGTTGGAAAAAGGGACAGCACATCCCCACCTTGTGGTCTAGCTTACTTTATTGCTGGGTCTCTTTTCTTTCTTTCTCTTTAGCTCTGATTGGCTCCAGTCAAGTTAGGTGTCCCATTGTCAGGATCCCCTGATTCGTTACTTAAAAATTACCTTGCCCGTTGTGACAGGAGCCAGAAAAAAGTGTGTCGCTTACTTGGAAAATGTGTGTGTCCTGGGAGTTAACTGGAATCCTCTACTTCTCGGTGGGTTGTTCCTAAATCAGTGACTGATTCTTATCAGCTTAACTGCCATGCATGTGGTTCAGTCCCATCCACTCAGGGGCTAGGGAAGAAAGCCATAGTCTTTGTGCTAATTGCATTCAGAAATGTCCATTCAATTTAAGAAGGAAAACAAACAATACTGCATCCGACCCTAAGTGTCTTGCCTGCACTCATCCTCCATATGGCTTCTTGCACTGGGTGGGTATGTCTCTTCTTAGTAAAGTCTTTATTGTCAAAACTCCACTTGGTTGAAAACTTTCTTTTCAATTTCAGGCATTCTTCGTAGGCCCAGGGAACAAGCTGGGGGAGCCTATTCCAATCGCCAAGGCTGACGACCACATTTTTGGAGTGGTTCTTATGAATGACTGGAGTGGTAATCAGCATTGTTCTCTGTGGAAATGTGTTTCATTGTTGTACGCTTTTGAGACTATTCACAGATATTGTATTTGTTTTAAATAAGGGAAATATGGTTATTCAGGACCCTAATTGTCTTTGACAAGTAGGAATGGGATAGAGTCTGCAATACAGGAGCACTGTTTAGATCCAGTTCAGGTCACTAGGATTACAAGTCGCTTCTGTGTAATGCATTACCATTGATATACGTTTTTTTGCTGGACAGGGACATGCCATAAACCACCATAGCTGGCAGTATCAGGAGCGGGTATGTCTAGATGATGAAAATGAGTTAGCAATTGCACTAGTCTAGATTCAGGATAATACTTTTTATCTCCACATAACTACTCAGTGTTAACCCTAGATAGGAGGTGCAAACTAGTGTCTGCACTACAGAAAAAGTAATGGTGAGGTTGAAGTTAACTAACTCACTCTGATTTAACCTTGGCCCCTCCTCCCCCTTCCTAATCTGGACCTATTTAGAGGATTTAAACTACCCATGCAGGTTATTATGACCTCAGGGGAGGGCTGAGATATATTGGCTAGTAGGGCTGTACGAAGCTTCGGGTGCTGATTCGATTCGGAGGAGATTTGGCCCGATTCGGTAGCCGAATCTCCAAATCCGAATCTAATCAGGGGGCCAATTAAAAGGTCTGAATTGATTCAAAGCTCTCCGAATGGATTTGGCAAAGACTCGGAAAGCTTTGATGATTCAGGCAGTCCCCACCCGCTGCAGCAGGGAAATGGGCCTGGACTCCAAGCTGGTAAGTAGGGGCGGGGGGG